TGACCTTTGACAGAGCTTGATCATGAAGGCTTTGGGATAAGTCATGAGCGTGGTTGCAGCATAATGAAAAGATAAGTATTCAGTTTCAACTCCCTTGAGTTAAATTCTCATTAATCATCTTGATGAACACATGGTGATATTCTGATTTTGTGCCGAAACCGCATTTATTTAAACTTACCAATACCATCTTTTGACAGTGTGTAATATTAATGTAGGTACAAGAAACATCAACCAATTTAACGTGGTAATTGAAATTCATCGTTGAGATGAACATTGAGATAGGAGGACTAACAATTTCGGAGATGTGAAGACGATGGATCCCTTGCATCATAGTTTATTCAAGAATCTTCAAGTATGAGCTTTTAACTTCTTTAGACGATGTTGGCGGATTTATTAGTCCATCCTACTTGTAGCTATACAATGAAAGGAAGAATTTGAATGTGTCTACAAAGTGAATCTTTATAGTACTATCCAACAGAGCAACAACAATATATTTGGCATCGGGACTAATTGCAACCACAAGGACATCATCATTCATTCTCATAGTATTGACATTTGAAACAGCGATTTGCTTAGTAGCTTGACCAGGTTTTTGCTTAATTTGGTAGTCCCAAAATTTTACTTCATGGTCTGCACTTCCTGTGACAAAACCAAGCTTATCCGGCAGAGCAGTAATGTCACATCTGCAGGTAAAGCTCTTACGAAAACTTGTTTCAAAATTCACTTCCTGTGGTATTGTATGGTTTATTGTTGATGGTTTTTCCTGATGTAGGATTCCCGCACTCTCACAGCTCGTCGTATTAATGCATTTTTTTGGCATGGATACTTTACAAGAACAAGATTTGTGTTGCGACTTTGTTCAGAAGAAAGGCACGAGGGTCGTGTCTATTGTTATGTCAGAGGTTCTAACTTAGAGCTTACCTCCTTGTTAGCCGGGAAAGAAGTGTGTAGTCTCGAAGATGAGGAAATTCCCGTAAATCCGATGTTGGATTACGTTACCTTGTGTTGGATTTTCAGTAATGACCTTGTTGTATACAAATACTGAGTTGCTCAATATCATAAAGTAGATAATGCTTTTGTAATCCATATTGGCTTATTAACATGAATGTATTTGAATTACCGTGGAGCTCATATGTGTTGTAATGATGTAAACAAAAAGTCAGTTATCATACAGTGGTATATCATGAATAAATGGGAAATTGCATGAAGTGTCCCCTTAAATCTTAATGAACTCATAACCTTTTCTTTCGTACCATGTCTGACTTGCAATTCCCATCAAATCCAGATCCTTCTTCACTTTCAATTGATGATTTTGATAGAGAAACAACCAGCAACCTTGATTTATAAGATACCAAAACCTGATCTGGAGTTTAACGAGATATAGTCGAAAAGCGCATCCAAAGATATCTTCGGTGTATTGATTCAATAATGGCTCAAGAATGAAAATAATAATAATAATAGATAATAATAATAAATATAATATTAGTAATAATAATAATAACAATAAATATAAAGATAATAAGTAATAACAATAATGATAAAAAAACCTAGAACCGGAGCCCAGACCAAGCAGAGACCTTAAGACAACCTCAAGTCAGGATCACTTGGTCATGCCTTAAGATATTCGACTATGGTAACAAACATCATCTCTACTTGAAATTTCTGCATCTGTACAAGTTGGTTAGTCACAAAAAATATAAATATTAAATTAAAGTCAAATAACAACAAAACAAAAAAAAATGCAAAAAGAGGTGGGATCTTAAGGTCAAAAATTTGGGTGTGACACCAAGCAACATTTCACATTCATCGGACATCCTCAAACTAACGGGCAAGCCGAGGCCGCAAATAGGGTTATTCTTCAAGGACTAAAATGAAGATTAGGCGAGGCCGAAAAGAGATAGGTCGAGGAGCTACACAACATGCTCTAGGCCTACAAGACAACTCCGTACTCAACCTCTGGGGAGACTCCCTTCCGACTAGCATACGGAACTGAGGCAGTAATCCTAATGGAAATCAGAGAACCCTCTAGACGAATAGAGGCTCCTATCGACGAGGAGATGAACGACAAAGCGTTAAGAGAATAACTCGATCTGGTTGAAGAAATCCGATCAGGGGCAGCCCTCCGCGAAGCTTCATTAAAATAAAAGATAACGTTGCGCCATGACACCAGAGTCATAAAGCGCGAATTCCAAGTGGGCAGCCTCGTCATATGCAGAAATAAAAATGATTCACGTGAGGGCAAGCTGACCACAAATTGAAAAGACCCTTACAGGGTAAAATAAAAAGCGGGCATCGGGGCCTACTACCCCGAACATCTAAACGGATAACCATTTGCTCGACCATGAAATGTTGAAAAGCTCAAACACTATTACAATTAGCACCAATAATCAGTTGGGACTAACTGTCGACGAACTCACCCCACAATTGTGAGGTTGCTCGGTCAAGGGAACGTGCCCTGGTGCAAGCACAATCCTTAAATTTACAATGAAGATAAGTTTATGCTCATGGAACGAGCAAACTCTATGCCCACCGTTGTCGTACCAGTGTGGCAGGAAACCCAGCTCGCGATGGGAGTAGTCCAAGCCCTGTGGGATCAGGACCTCGACCGAGATTCTAGTCCCACAACTGGCGGAAACTACTTTCACCTCCTCGACAAGTTCCCTAAATAGTCGAGCATTATAACAAGTCGAGCAAACTCCTAGCGAATATAATTTGCGAAACTTAATACTTCGGGCAGATAGAAAAAATATACATCTACAAAGATAAAGTGCACAAGCAAGGCATACAATGTCAAACATAAATATGATATAAATCCAACCACCAGGCCATAAACCATCAAAAGATTACAACAAGTTCCCTCTAGTTCCACTCGGGCACATCCTCATCGACAAGACACGCAGGATATTATCCGAGTACAACCTCATCAACAAAATTTTTTCTTGCCTTAAGCGCAAGGCTGTTCGACGTAAAACGTCCATTCTACGAGCGTGCCCTCGCATCCCAAGGAACCTTTGGAAGTTACGGATAACCAATCATTGACAACACTAGTCATAGACATTCGAAGGGTACATCCCCTAGGATTTTCATTTAAAAAAATGGTCTCAAAGGCATCCCCGCGACGCAACTCCTGCCCATCGGTTGACCAGCGAGGGTAACTCAAAGTCATTGCTCCTCACCTAAGAACAACAACTTGGAGAGCTCCTGTTCTGGACTAGAATGACAGGTGGCCCACAGTTGGGCAAGACCCAATCCAGTCCAACTTTTGACAAGGCCCAATAAGGAGATTAACACAATCTAGGCATTGGGCACAATATGACTGTTGGACACAATATAGCCGTTGGGGAGAATATAGTCGTTAGAGCATTATAGCCGTTAGGGACATCCCCCTCACACGCTTCACAATTCACGCGACCAACTGCCCCTCCGAAGTTCACGGCGGCAGTTGTACAGGTCGAAGATCAAGCGCTAGAATCTTCCTCGCTCCTCGCAAACCTGACAGTCTCTCATTGGTGGACCAGATATCTTGGCCCACAATGAGACCTTGGGCCTGTGCTGGTGTTTTCTTATAAATACCCTCTCAATTGAGAGGGTAAGGTATCCAATTCATTCTAACACAAACCTGAACACTTTGTACTTGCCCTTTTTCTCTCCCTGTTACTTACTTTAGCATCAAAGTGCCTTGTAGGCACACCCCCTCCTCTCTTACAATCATCATTGATGCCTTACACTGAAGGCCACGAGGATCCAGTCTGATCATACCAGATCAGAAGGAGTTAGAGTAAAGAAAGTGATGCTTAGGTTAGTTTTACTGGGGCCCACAATGGCGCGATATTGTATTGGTAAAAAATTACAGGTGTGCGCATTACCCATGGAAGAGCGGGGACATTCCAAGGCCTTAGTAGGTATATTACGATGCATGATGATTAAGGTTTGCCAACAGTGGCGAGAAGCCCTATATGGTGGTATTTTGTGGTGGTTTATAAGACCTGTTCACGCTAGGTGAGATGCTCTGTACATAAATGGTGTGCTTAGGTATAAACGTATGTAGGGTGTGGTATCTCTGAGTTAAAATCTCCTCCTCTCCCCCATATGGGAAAGGTATTTATAAAGACTTTAGGTTAGCTTTTTTGGAAAAGGTCACCGCCCACCTAGTCAATGGTTGATCGTTGAATCTCTATTTTTAAAGGGGGCGTGGGTCAATTAATGACCCTGACTTCTCTCACTGTCAAAAAAGCGTTTAATCTCACATTTCTCATGACTGAGCAATACGAAAACCTTGAGGAGAGGCAATACCTCCTTTAAAATGATATGTGATCCTTACATATTCTAAAAATGACCTATAATCATTACAAATAGTCTATAAACACTACAGTTTCCGTTAAACTCCATCAATAAAAGTAGATATTAAATATTACAAAATCATTAAGTATTAGCCAAATATAACACCATAAATTATTTGTACATAAGTTAACAATTTTTATTGAAAAAATAATAAAAAAAATTAAATTGGATCAAGAAAAAATAAAGTTAAGAAATCTAAACATATAATAAAACGATCCCTCTATAACGATTTATAAGAAAAAAGAACATTTTTGATTATAATTATAAAAAAACATCACCTTAATTTTATTTAAATATTTTATTATAAAAATACATTTTAAAAAAATAATATTAAATATAAATAATATTTAATTTATTATTTATCTCACTTTTCATAAACAATCACCAATTACAATTATTTTTATATATTTTCATAAAATATATTTTAAAAAAGACACTAATTTTTACATTTTTTTAATATGAAATATTGAAATGAAAATAAAACTAGTAATAAACAAATGGAATAAAAATTATCTTTTACAAAATAACAAGAGGAGAGAGATATATCACTAAATTCCACTCTCTCTGTCCTCGTAAATTTGGCGCGAAAATCAGTACTAATAAGTGAGGTCATACATTTTCAATTTTTTTTTTCCCATTTCCAAAACGAAACCCAAAGCATGGATTCAACACCTTCCGCAAAACGACGTCGTCAGAGCAAAAACGACGAGACTGAAGCAGTATCAACGTTGCCGAAACAAATATCACCGGTGGTTATCTTCGCTCACGGCGCCGGCGCTCCTTCTTCTTCTGATTGGATGCAAAGGTTCCATTTTTCATTTTCCTTACTCGTTTTTAAATTACATATAAAATGCGTTGAATCATGTTCTAGGGTTTTTTGTTTTTGTGAAAACTGATCTCACTGTATTTTTTGGTTGTTGTGATAGATGGAAGAGTACGTTGATGGAAACCCTACACGCTGCTGATGTTGTCACGTTTGACTACCCTTGTGAGTTTGTTTCCAATTAAATTCATTGCATTGATTTAACATTCAACAACGGTTTTTAACTTAAAAGTTGTCTGCTTTCATTATCTAGATTTAGGTTTAGGGATTGTATGTGGTTCGCCTTTTTCATTGACTAGATTTTGAATTTGTTTTAGTATAAAAAATGATCTCTATTTGAGTTTTAGTGAACTTTGAGATGGTTGTATTTGTTTCTACGTTATAAATTATAATAAAAAATGATCTCTGTTTGGCCCGTTGAACCTTGAAATGACTCTTTATACGGTTTGGTTTTTGGAGAGTTTCAATTGCAGTGTCGTATTGGTTAGAACTATTTAAACCAATTAAACAATGATTCGTAGGTTTCACCGGTAAAATGTTCAGTTTAGTTTTTAAAACATTGATTGGTTTATTTTTTAATTTCTTAAATGAATCCGGCGGGTTCGCCATTTTCCAGATATGTCTGGTGGGAAAAAGAGGGCTCCTCCTAAGGCAGAAAAATTGGTGGAGTTTCATTCAGATATTGTGAAAGAAACTGCAACTAAATTCCCTGGTCATCCTCTCATACTGGCTGGCAAATCAATGGGTTCAAGGTGCATTGTTATTGTTATTATTTTAAATTTTAATTGATAGCATGGCATAAGGAAGTCCTAATAAAGATGATTGATAGCAAGATATTTATAACAGGGTTATCTTGTATTTATTTTATTGTAGAGTTGGATGCATGGTGGCGAACATGGAAGATATCAATGTTTCTGCTGTACTATGCTTGGGCTACCCATTAAGGGTTTGATTTTGATCTTTTTGATAATTTCATGTGAATCTACAAATTAAACTGATTGAATGTTTTTCCCCTTTAACTTTGGGTTGGGGGTACTGAAGAAATATTCAAACTATTTGTTTATATTTTGGGGGATACCTTATCCTATTTATAATTTTGTTGAGGTCTTTGTCCCTCCGTGGCAATTGTGGCACTCACACTACTTCAACCTGTTAGACTGGCTATGAAACTATCCTTGATTTAGAACTTAGTCAAACTTGAAGCTCTGACAATCAAACCACAATCTCTTGTAGAAGAAAATAATATCAAACTTTGATCATGCCACTTACAAGCTTAGCGTGTGTTACCAAATGAGCTACACCCATTGAATTTCAACATCAACTTTTCCATGTTGTTGATAATTAAAGTTTACTCACTAATCTATATTTTTAAAAAAAGTTTTCATAACATTTCTTTTCCATGGTTAGTTTGGCTTCTGCTAGCCATCTTAATTTGCCAACGTGATTGGTGACGTTGTCATCCTTAGAGCATGTGTGTGGAGCTCTAAAATCTGTACGAAGCTACTTCTATGAATATTTTCCTTTTTATTTCTTCATGACTTGCACCATCATTTGCACCTGTGATACTTTCAGTTTTCTGTTGAGAAATTGTTGGCACATGATCAATTATAGTTGGTGTATTGTTTTTCTTAGTGTGTTTTGGTTAAACAGTGATTATCATTATTACTTTAGGTCAAGTTTAAGATAATATAACTGTTACTATGAATTGCATCAATTTCGTTGCAACTGTTTCAGGGAACCAATGGTGCGGTTAGAGATGAACCACTGTTACAGCTAACAGTTCCTACAATGTTTGTCCAGGTGGTTATCCTTTTCAATTTTTCATTGCAGTTTGGTATTGTTCTGCGACCATAGCTCTCCAATTTCACTCTATTGGGTGAACCATGAATCCTTTTCAATTTCTATCAAAATGGTTTTCTGTAGTGCACTCGCAAATTTTTGGTTTATGCTATGTCTCTCTTAACACGAGTCTTGTGTGTGTCTTGAGCAGGGCAGCAAAGATGGTCTCTGTCCACTTGATAAGTTAGAGACCACGCGGAAGAAGATGAAAGTGCTCAATGAGCTGCATGTCATTGATGGCGGCGATCACTCGTTTAAGATTGGTAAGAAGCATCTACAAGCAAATAGTTCCACCCAAACTGATGCCGAAGTTGCTGCTATGAAGGCCGTTGCTGCTTTCGTTTCCAAATCCCTTGAAGGTTGATGTTGATGCCCCTCCCCTTTTGTTGATTCTACAGTGTAGCAAGGTTTGTATTATTGTATATACACCCTGTTGTATCTAGCTTTGTTGCAAGTGGGCTGTAATTTTATTTTGGTGACTTGGTCAAGTTTTTTCCTTGCTAGTAGAGTAGACATGAATTTGTTGCTCTGGCAGTAGTAGAAACCTACTTGGTGAAGATGGGTTTGTTTAACTTAATGCAGTTTTACATATTAATGTTAGACTGGTAACAAAGGCATGTAAGATCCTACCATGGAACATACCATGAAAATAGGCAAAGTTCAATATCTATTATTCATCACAAGGTACACACAGACAAGTGAAATATAGGCATTTATTTGCCCCAGTTATTGAGTACAAGAATGATATAATAAAATTACAAAGCACTGTTTATTTAAAAAGATGATTTTCATTTAGTTATACAAACTTTGCTCAGTTGCATCCGTTTGCAGCTTCTAGATCTGTGCATCAATTCTGCCATGTAATACAAAACAGATAAATTAGTGAAACTAATTAAATCTTGTTCTTATTCAAGATGTGTGTATTTAGTGTAAAACATTTAGTGTTGAGAACTCTTGTTTATTTAAGTGCACCTACCTTTGGCATCGTCTTTGGACATTTCTTCTCATTGTCAAGTGCACCTACCTTTGGCTTTGTTGTTGGACATTTCTTCTCATCGTCACTTGCACCCACCTTTGGCTTAGTCTTTGAACATTTCTTCTCATTGTCACTTTCGCTGTCACTGCTGCTGCTGTTTCCTTCACCATTATGGCGGGACATTCCATTCTTAATCCTCTGGAACAAATTGATATCTCTCTTATTGTTGAGCTCTCTGTTTTTCTTAGCAGAAGTTCCAAAGCATGTTGTAGTTGCACCATAAGGAGAAGGACCCTCTTTGGTTTCAGTAATTTCTGCTTGAACTACACAAACTGTGATATGGGTTTTGATGACACCATGCTTTTTGTCATGATGGGTCTGAGTCTGACCATAGTGATGAGTTTCTGTTTTCGTGCCATTATGGCCGTTTGACTCCACCTGACTTTGGGAGCTGTAACTTTGGACTTGATTCTGAGTACTGCCATGTCGGGCATGGTGTCCTTTGAAAGCCTTGTTAGTCATCTCAGATATTTTCTGGCCAATCGAGCTGTGTTGGGTTTTTGGTTGGCAGGCTTCAATGGCAGTAGAGGGTTTCACAGACTGAGCTGAAGCCATTGTTGCTTCCTCACTGATTTGTTTCTTTGATGTTGCAGGGTAATTGCGCATTAAGGGTCTTTTATTGGCACAAGAATGTGTGAAGCTTTCTCTCCTCCTCCCATAGTGGAGAAATAAAATAACTATTCAATTATGCTATTCGAAATATGGCTTCATTAAAGTAGTCTTATCATTTATCAACAGAACATAAAACAGAACTTATTCTCTGGGTCATTTCAGAACGTATTCACTGATAATTATGTGAAAGAACCTAACAATTTCATGGAATTTGCATCGCAGATAGTGCAGACAACATGAATAAGTTCCCACACAATTTTTATAAGATTTTTATTAATTACTTTTTAAAACAAAAGGTAATATGCCATTTTTGCTTTTGAGTAAACAGATCATACTCATGTCAGTTTTGTTATTAAAGAATGTGAAGAGTGTAAGTCAATCATAGATATTTTTGTTTTTTTAACTTTAAGAATGTGAAGAGTGTGAAAGTTACATATACCGATTGTAGTTATTTCTGCATTAGTTTTTTTATTTTTTATTTTATCAAATTGACGGTTTATTTTTTATTTTTTCTCCACTCATTAGCAAGATTGTGGCAGATGCATAAAGTATGCATCGCGTAGCACAACTGGTATACAAAAATATATTCCTCCCAAAATAATTAACAAATGATCTAACTTTTAGTTGGTTTTTGTCTCAGAATTATCAAACGGTAATGTACAACTCTTAAAAAAAATGGATATGTAAATAATTATTTTAATTACTCTAGATTGATCGGTTACTCCCATATCATATTTTAATTTAATTTTGGATGTTTTTGGTGTCTGGTGTGATATTCTAACAGTTAGATATGAAGTTCACGTTGTTTTCTCTTTGATGGGTAAGTCTTCGGTTACCATTTTGCATCCATCTGGAGGAAATAAGTGTCTCTTTTTGAATTCAAAACAAACCATTATTCTTTATTGGTTTGTGGATGATATTAGTAAAAGAGTTGGTAGTACTCTTCACATTTCTATCTTGGCTTGTGGATTATAGTAGTAAAAGAGTTGGTACTGTCCTTCACCCTTCTTTTTGGGTTGATCTGCGAGTTGGGGCCATCTCCCTTAAGATTAGCTTTCTTAGACTCTTTAGGATCTTCAGGATTAGCATGCAGCAATGGTAGGTTTATGGGAGGGCAATGTTCTACTTTGAGAATTGTGGTGATCTCTTTTTGTGTAGGGATGTGCATGTTAACCATTTAATATATGAACCAATATATTTTTATGGTTATGGTTTATAAATCGAACAATTTGTTCTGAACCGGTTTAAAACCGGTTTTAAATGAATTTTGATTTTAATCCAAATTATTTAGCTAAATTTAAATTTAATGTTTTTTAAATTATATCAAATTTTGAAATTTAAATATTTTAGATTTTAATAGATTTTTTTTTTGAAAATAAAATGAAATTAATTTTTTTTAAATAAAAAAATAAAAAAAAATAAAACTGAAAAAAATAAAATCTAAAATAAAAAACTTCAATAAATTATATGGACTTAAAATGGTGACCAATATGTTATAATAAATATATTTGTATATTTCAAAACCTCTATCTATTGGTGGAGAAATCTAAAATATTTATTGATTGTATCTGACCAGAAGGGGATCGATGATCTGCCACGCGTCGTTGATCTGGAAGCTGCTCACCAAAGTGTTGAAGAGGAGGGGGTGTACTTGAAACACACTCTGATTCCAAAGTAAGGGACGAGCAGAGTGGAAGCAAGTACATAGAGAGAGTAAGAAGATTAAGTTACCTGACCCTCTAGTGAAGAGGGTATTTATAGTGATCCCCCAGCGCAGGGCCAACGGTTACCTAGCACTGGGCTGGACTGCCAGACCCAATGTTAGCAACTGCTAGGGCTGACGTGACGTCGTGGAGACCAGCACGTGGTCTTCACCCTAGTGTAACTGCTCTGCACTATCCGGAAGGAGGAATGCTGAATCTCCCGGATGTGGGTAGTTACTTCATGACGTGTCCCTACGTGAGGGACACGTGGAGAACATGAGGGAGGCCTTGAGGAGTCCCCGGGCAGACAGGTTAGTCTGGTCGGATGCGAAGGTCTTGCCCGACACTGGGGCGAAGAGGTCGGCTGGCCGGTCAAAAGGGTCCTGCTCGACAATAATTGGTCTGGGTCCGACGGGGATGAAGGATGTGCCCGACGGATCCCAGGGTCGTCAGCGTGGCTCAAATGGGGCCCAACCCCAATGAGCTTTGGGCATGCTAGGCAGTAGGCTAAGCGTTGGCCCAGTCCAAAACAGTAGCCCCCTGAGTCGTTGGTCGTGACGGGCGAGTAATGACTTAAGTAGAGTGGCGCTGGGCGTACCGTTTGTCAGGGCAGGATGCGAGGATGGTGTCGGGCGCACCGCTTTATCGGGTAGGACCGCGGAGACAGTGTCGGGCAATGAGACCTGTCGGGCTAGACAAGTGAACAGTGTGGCGAGCGCGAGGTCGGCGGATAATATGAGGAGGCGCAAGGAAGACGAAGGGTCGCTACGTGTCTTCTCGTGATGGCTATGGGTTAGGCACTTGAGTGCCTAGCGGCACATCGTTTCCCGCGCCAGGGGTATATATACTTTGACCTGACTCGTCTTTTCGTCCATTCTCTTGTTTGTATCTGCTCACTGATCAGAAATTTCTGCCCGAGAACTTCAATCGTCTTTGCCCGACTTCTGGTGTTTCTGCTCGGCGACAACATTCCTTTACTCTTTATCAAGTAAGATTTCGTGCCTTTCTTCATGTTTCTTGTTATTTATTGCGGTGTTTCCGGCGGTTCCGCTGGGGGCATCGTGGGTTTTTCCGGCGAATACGCCAGAGGGCCCTTCAACATTAGGGTAGAAAACGGACGTCCCCGGGTTCTGCGATGAGTATCCCGGGGAGGAATGAAGGGGTTTTGAATTCCCCCAGGATATAGGGATGAACTTCCCGAGGAGGCAAGGATGAATGCCCCAGACACAAATGGATGTGTGTGTCGAGGATGGAGGAGTGTCTCGCCGATCCTCCTCGGGGGCTACGGTTGTCCCCGGTCTGTTTTTTGGGCGGCCGACCTACCACGCTCTTTCACTTGAACTGCGGTGGAAGGGTGAATTTGATTTAGCTGTCGAATTCACCGGGTTCCTCTGCTTTTCAGGTATAATATGGCCGGCCACGCCGAGGAAGGAGTGGAGTGGTATTTGTCCAAGGACGAAAGGGATCGCGAGGAGGTCGAGTTGGACCCATAGGTGAGGCCCTTGGAAGAATAGGTTGGGGAAGAACCCCTAAATTATAGTCGAGGTTCATCCCCGACAATTCGGACGTGTTCGTTGTAATCGAGGAGAGGGTGGCCGGGATCCCCCGACAGTTCCGCGTGCGCTTGCCCCGGGAGGCCGACCGTATTTGCTCACGATATGACGGTGGTCGGTTCTCCATTTATGAATTTGCCTTTAAGGAGGCGGGGATGCGAATGCCCTTCACCGACTTTTAGCAAGGTGTCTTCGATCACCTCATGCTGGCGCCGTCTCAGCTCCATCCGAATTCGCTGGCCTTCCTCCGAGCCTTCGAGACCGTGTGCAACTATCTCGAGCTCGGAGCCACTATTCCTCTGTTTTTCTCTGTCTTCCACCTACAACGGCAGACGGTGGCTAGCCGACACAACTGGGTTTCTCTAAAACAGGCGGCCGGGCTCTTCCGGCCGTACACCGATTATGTCTGGGGTTTCAAAGACCGCTGGTTTATGGTCATGCCGGTCACAAATGCGGTGTATGCTACTATTTTTCGGAAGGAAATCATCGAGGGTGACGGGCATCCTCAGGAAAACTACGAATCTAACTTCCCCCTCGACTGGCAGAACCTGCACTTGGGTCGGGAACAGACAACTTTATCTTCAGGCCTGGTAGGTTGGGCAAGGAGGATAGCTTGGCGTTCCGCCAGCTGGTAGATTTTGTCGGGCGTCTTCTTCCTCGAAAGTGCGTGTCCCCTGACGGGGAATACATTCGTGATGCCGAGGGGCACGTACTGACGGAGACCCAATACATCAATGTCAGGGCTCTGCTCGAGTGTCGGACGGAGGCTGAGGCCCATCAGTTCCTAGGTAGTTTGGGCCTATCCGAGCTGCTCTCTTTTACTTTGCCATTTTTAGTTTTGACTATTGCTCTTGTGTCCCTTTTGTAGGTTCGATGGGTTCGGTGGAAGAAAGAGTGATGAAGCTGATGAATAGGGGGAGCCGACACGCTCAAGGTCGGGCCCCTGCTGCTCGGAAGGATTTGGCCGTTGCTTCTCCAGAGGCAACCTCGTCTTCGCAAGTGGCGGGGTCCCCGGTTCAAGCTCTGGTTCCAAAACGGCGGCGGGAGGACGAGGTGCCTCAGATTGACCTTACTGAAGCTTCTCCAGAGCGTGGGTTTGCCCTGCCCCCTTGCTGTCTCCGACCAAATTTATTTTGGGGGGGGGGGGGGGGAACGAACCCGAGGTGGCACTGGACGAGGAAAAAAGTATCTTGGCAACGAGCAAAGAGGCTCGGCAGAAGATGCTGTCCGCTGATCTGGCGGCGATGGTGAGGATCTTCGAGACGGCCCTCGTGCTGAACAAAGTTGGGTGTTCCTCGGAGCATTTAGCCGCTGTTAAGGACGAGCTCGCGATGTCCGAGGAGGTCAGGGCCAAGCCGACGGCCGACCAAAGACAGTATCAGTAGCGGGACAAACTCTAGGGGGATCGTATCGAGGAGCTAGATAAGGCCCTAAAGGATCAGGACGAAGAGATGAAGAGGGTCAAAGGCCGCATAGTTGATCTCGAGGACCTGGTCTCCCCTGCCGAGGAGGAGCGATTGATCTTGTCTCGTAGAGGGTTCGTGGCCAAAGTTCGCCAGCTCGAGGAGGATTGTCTGGGAGCCGTCAAAGTAGGCTTCAAGCACGCTGTCGACCAATTCAGGATCGTCAACCCCGACCTGCTGATCGACGAGATCAGCCCCTTTCATCGGATCCAAGACGGTCAGATTGTTGCGGCCGGAGACTCAGATGATGACGAGGGTGACCGTGCCGCCGAGGA